GCCTTCCCGCCCGCCCCTATTGTTCCGCCCCCGGCCTCCCGCCCTTCCCATTCCCGCCCGCTCCCCTTTTCCCCTCAGTCGCCTCGCGCCTGCAGGTAAGCTTAAAAATTTCGCCTCCGCTCCTGGATATAGCTACTATTTCCACTCTTGTCATCTTTCTTAGTGGCCTCCAGTCCTAGTCGCGAGCCCCGGCCTCGCGTTGTTCCTCGTGAGCGCCTATCACCTCACTTTGCCTGGCGGCCATTCACGCGAGGCCCTGGCGCCGGCGCGGCCTGGTAGGCCTCGCGCTAGGCCTTTCCCCCTCCCCCCCGCCTTTTCCCGGTGGCGGCTGCGCAGGAGTCAAGGAGGCCGCGCGCGCGGTAGGGGGGGCGGCGGTGGATTTGTTGGTTGAGGGGGGTGGGGAGAGGCTATGGCCGGCTTGTTGGCCGGGCTGGTGAGCGCGGCTCCCCGCGGGGGTCAGGCGCTGGCGCAGCCACACGAGGAGGCGCTACTAGTCCGGCCCCTCCCCCTGCATCGCAGCGCCCCCCCCTGACCGAACCGTTTATTTTTATTCCTCTCTTTTCTAATCGAGGGAAAGGGGGGGGCTTTTTTTTTTCTTTAGTGGAAAATGCTTGGATGACCGAGGGGAGGGGGGGACTGCGGAGTGAAAGAAAGGGTAGACGGTCTCCCAGTTACCGACTTACTCAGGACGTTCTCTCGGGGTAACGAATTTTGAAATTACAAAATGCCTGCCGCTTTAAACCCAGACCGAGCTATTTATAGAGGAGTATTGGACTGCAGGATTAACAGCTGGATTGCTGGAATGGGGTATACATATATTGATCTAGTCAGGAGAGAAATGAGACAGTTTTTTTTTTTTTTCGTTGCTCAGATGGTTTGAAGTTTGTAGTGCATCTTTGCGCTTTTTCTGAAGAAAAGGCTTGAAATAGGTTTTAAATTCTCTTGCCTTTTTGAACATGAATTGTGTTTGTAAAGAGCTTACCATTGTAGGTGGGGTTAAGAAATTAAACGTTCAAGATGCTTAACCACATCTTATTTTTTAAAAAAGTCATTCTTTAGACCTAACTCTCCCTCCTCCAAGCACTATTTTTCCATAAGTGAAAGTGTTGAATTCTGGGATTTTGCCAGCTATTAATTGTATTTTGAAAATAGGGAAATGATGGGGTTTGAGGATGCACTTAACATAATCTTTTGTAATCACTTAAATTTTTGAGGTAGAGTACAGTTTGCTATACAGAATGGTAAGGCAGCCAGTTAAAATATTTAGTATATGGGCTTTGTGTTAGAGCAGAATTAAAGTGGTGATGGGTTTTGTGAAGAGGGAAAACTAGCTGTAGAATAGACTATTGATGGTTAGTTTTGGAGAGATGTATACTTAAAATGTCATTAGGTAAATTAATAACCTTTTTAAAGCTATCAGCATTCGGTGCTTAGGAGTTATCAAAGGCAAAGGCATGTCCAAAAACAAATTCTCCAGTTATTCCAAAACAGAAATGTTAGGTATCTTGTTTCATAGGATGAGTGGGGAAAGGGCCATAGAGGGTAGTAAAGGCACTGTTACTTACTGCTGTTGCTAAAAACAATTAACAAAATAAAAACAGCAGTACCAGTTCTGATTGTTTTCTTTGGAAGAAAATTTAAGGTTTAATAAACAAGTAAATATTGAGTGGTGATAAAGGTTAATATACAGAAGCAAGGAAAATTTCTCAAATCTGAGTAATTATCAACTTGGATCGAGAGAGGCAAAAGTAGGAAAGGACTGTACTTGATGTATTGAGTCATTTTCCAAAGGGGAATGTTGAACCCTAGCCTGCATGGAGGGTATCTCAGATAATGCCTTTTTCAGTGAGGTTGATCTAAATCTTTTAAAAATTCTTTGCTATCTTATCAGTATTTGAAATTCGTAATGTTCAGATGTAATGACATCTCAATTCCTTAAACTAGAATTTGCTAGAACATTTCTGACGGTTTGTTTTGTAGAGATTGGATGCTTAAAATGTACTAAGAAAATTTATAGTTATGAGCTTATAACTTGCACTGCTACTCTACAGGGAAGCAAAGGGTCATTTGCCCTCATTGTGGTTGGTTGGTTTGAGGTGTGCCCTCATGATTTCCAGGTGTTTGTGAATCCTTTTGAGGCTCATTGTGCTGAAGGACAACTGGTGCACGTTCAGCAGTTCCGTTAGAGTCATTGCCAGTTGAAGGAACCATCCTTATCCTGAGAGTCAGCGGAAACTATCATTAATGAGAGCAAACTGGAAAGTTGCCTTCTATACTACGTAACAGAACCTGAGCTGTAAATGTTACGCAGTTGTGCTGGGTATATATATCCATCAAAAGGCTGTCATTTAAGGAAAAGTGTGAAGTAAAAATGCTGGTAATGGTGAAAATAACTTTGGGAAATAATTCCTTTATTGTTTTTCTTCTCTGATTTTGACCATGTCGTCTTTTCAGTTTTTGGCTTTCACCCCCACCAGTGACCAAAGACTTGACCACTCAAAGTCCAGCTCCCCAGAACAGTGCTCAACATGGATACCGGTGTGATTGAAGGTGGATTAAATGTCACTCTCACCATCCGGCTACTTATGCATGGAAAGGTATGCACCAGCTTGTGAAATTGGGTCATAGTAACTGCTAGGGGGAGGGGCCAGGGAGAGCAGACATGCATCTTGGAGCTCATCAGATTAGCACTGTGGGGCATCTGGCTTTCATACACTTTTCTAATGGAGTAGATGTGAGTGTAGTGGGAAAATGGACAGACTTTACCAGGAATCTCCACTGAGCAGGAAAACCATAACTAGTGATTAGAGTCAAAGACTCTCTCATACCTGAATGTTAAAATTTTTCTCACGGGGGTTGTTAGAGTTTGTGATAGGTATATTTCTTCTGCCCAGTTTTAGGAAACTACAAAGGAAGAAGATATATTTGATACTCTAAAAAAAATAACTTATTAAACAGATACAGAATTTACTTGCTCCTACATCATTATTCTTACAAAATTCTTTGTTAATTTCACTTAAATTGTGAGAAAAGAAAAAAGAATAGGTTCTCTCAATAAAACTTAAGATCTTTTTATTCTTTTGGGTATGGTAATTAGCATAGAAGCAGTTGGTTAGCTAGACAGTTAAATTCCTTTTTGTAATAATACTTTTGTAGTTTTCTCTTAACTGACTTTAGTTTTATCATTGCAGGAAGTTGGCAGTATCATTGGAAAGGTAAGATAATTTCACTTCATCTCTAATTACTATTTAGTCATTCTGGGATAAAATAGCAGTTGGACCTCACGCTTGACTTTTCCTCTTACAGAAAGGAGAATCAGTTAAGAAGATGCGTGAGGAGGTAAGTTATGGAAGGCTTTGGGATTGTTAATTTGGGACATGAAAAACCTTTAAAATGAGAATTCTGTTTGAGACGTTGGAGGAAGAAAGATCTCAAGGGAAGCTGGTAGTTTTCTGGCTTGGGACATTTGTAATGTAGTATTCTGGGAAATGTAGTTCTGTCAAGTATCAGGATATGTTAGAAGGGAGACACGGAGCAGTGGTTGAAATGATGCTCTCACTTGCCTTTATCAGGATTGTGTATGTAGGCAGGTTCTCTGGTCTTATTTATTAAGAGAGGCTATGTATCTTGTAAGTGCTCAGATTTTTTTTTTTTTTAATTTGGTCTGTTTAACCTTTCTTGGGCTGTTTCTTATCCAGAGTGGTGCACGTATCAACATCTCAGAAGGGAATTGTCCTGAGAGAATTATCACTTTGGCTGGACCCACTAATGCCATCTTCAAAGCCTTTGCT